CTTTCCGCTTTCTATTTGTATTTCTGTTTTTGGTTTTTAGTCCAACTTGTTCTCAACTGAACCTTATACTTCAATTCATAGGATACCCGTGTAATCGAAAACACTCAGTTTGTAGCATTTTCTATATATATATTCACTACACGCTTACTTGAATTTCATGATCGACATGACCGGTCCGAAGATTTCGTCTTTGGCGATGCTCATGTCATCCTTTTATACAAAAAATAAATAATTAAATAAACAAATAAATCAGATTTTTTTCGAAACTTGAAATGTGCAAACAAATGAAAAAAATAAATAAATAAATAAAAAATTGCAACATTGTGCGAATACTAAAAGCTTACGGTGACATCAGTGAATATAGTTGGCTCGATATAGTATCCTTTTCGGCCGAGAGGTTTACCGCCTGTGAGCAAGGTGGCTCCCTCCTTCTTCCCACGGTCGATGTACGAAAGTACCTTTTCGTATTGTTTCTTGTCGACCTGCTCAGAAAGATCGATCGATGTTTCATTCGAAACAAAAATAAAAAAAATAAAAAAATCGAGCTAACTTAGTAAGACCATACTTGAGGCCCTTGATTAACGTTTGGATCGAAAGGGTCACCAACGACCCACGTTTTCAACTGTTCCAACAGTCGAGCAATGAATTTGTCATATATCCCTTCTTGAACAAAAACACGCGTCCCGGCTACGCATATTTGACCCTGAAAATATTTATCAAGAAAACGGAAAAAATAAATAAATAAATAAAATGAACAATGTGGACTAGCTTAATCGCATAAAATTGGCCGAAAAAACGAACCAAACTTGATCGATTTAATACAAATTATAGGATCAAAACCAAAAAACTTCGTCGATCGACCAAACAAGACTCTAACACGAAAGAACGCTAAATTTAATTACGAGACTCATTAATTGCCTGATTAAAGAAACATGCGGTGAGGGCAAGAGGAGCGACTTTATCGATGTCCACGTCATCGAAAACGATGAAGGGAGATTTCCCGCCCAATTCGAGTGCCACGTGTTTCAGGTTGCTGGCGGCTGCCGCCTGCATTACGCGGTGTCCCGTTTCAGTCGAGCCCGTGAAACTCACCTGCAGAAGGTCGGTTCGTGCCGTTAGAAAATCGAGCATTATATATAATATATATATATATATATATATATATATATATATTCAAGAATTGAATTAATTTTTAATTACCATATCAACATCCATGTGAGAGGTGAGTGCAGAACCAACTATGGATCCATAGCCTGTCACAACATTGAAGACTCCATCTGGCACACCAGCCTGTGTAAAAATATCAAATGAAATATAAAATGTCAGGATTAAGTTATATTATGATATTATCCATAGCTAAATCAAATTAAGTGTTGATATTAAATTAGTGTGAAACCCATTTTTTTTTAAAAAAAAATCTATAGCTACCTAAATCACAAAAAATCAAAAATTGTATTTAAATTTCAAAATCGACGGACTTTAAACCGTGAATTGATGTAACATTCTACAACTAGAATTGATGGTTTGACCAATGAATCGAAACTGTTGACTACAACCAAAATCGGACCCGTAAATCATATGGCCTAATTCCGAATCGAAATCATTTTCACTTGAACCGCCTAATCCATACAAATACTTCAAAAAAATTTGAATTGGAAGTTCTAAATCGATGGCCGAGAACTCGAGATTAGGAAAAACCTAGTCCCAAACCGCAACATTCTATACGATAGGCGGGCAAACCGCGAATTTGGGCCCATTAACCGATAAACCGAGTCAGCTAGAACCAAATTCGACCTAAAAAGTGCATGACCTAATTCCGAACCAAAATTGTTTTTTGCTCGAACAGCCTAAACCGCAAGAAAAAATCTAGACTTGATTTCCGGTCATAATAACGATGATTAAAAAAATAAAAGTAAGTAAATAAGGGAAATGGACAACCTGCTTAGCCAGATGTGCATAATAAAGCGCAGAGAGTGGAGTTTGCTCAGCGGGCTTGAGAATAACGGTGCAGCCAGCAGCCAGGGCCGGGCCCACTTTCATGGCGAACATTTGGGTCGGAAAATTCCATGGGACTATGAGCCCAACAACGCCAATGGGCTCAACTAGCGTGTAGCCCTGCTTCTCGCCCGACAGTTTCAAGGTTGCCCCGTGGATTTTATCCGCTGCGCCCGCGTAGTAGCGGATAACTTCCGCGGCGTTGTGGATGAACGCGCCCTTGGTCAACGTGTACAGATTGGCGGCGTCGGCCGTGTCCAAGGCGGCTAATTGTTCATTGTGTTGGTCTATGAGGTCCGCAAATCTTAGCAATATTCGTCTTCTTTCCTGAAATAAATTAAAAGGAAAATAAAAAAATTGAGTGTAGTGTAAATGGTGCTCTTGGATTAAACGAGTTTTCCATAAGATTGTTTCGGCTCGTTATAGCTTGTTAAGGTTTGAAAAATAAAATTTTTTATGTAGATTTCTATAATTCACTTTGCTAAAGCTAAGTTTCACTTGTTAATATTGATAAATGAAGCGAGTTTAACGAGTCAAGTTCAGTTCGACTTGATAAAAGTTCAAGTATGAATAATTCCAACTCGATTTGTCTGGTTTGAACGCCTAAATATAAATTCGTCTTGGTATGAAAAATGAATGTGAATGGTAAAATCGTAATATTTGAATTTTAATAATTAGATCCAACTAATGTTTACAAATAATAGTAAATGTGTAGATGATGCAATTAACCTTTTTGTCTTATAAACTATTCATGAAGTACGAAAGTAATTCTTATAACTTATATAGCTAAATATAAGTGATAAATTTGATGAAGAACAAAACAAAAAAAGGATGAATTTAGTGTATCTGAAGTAAAAACATATTACAAATCAAATAGTTATATTGAATAATAAATATTTTTACAATGTTTAATCTTTTTTCAATTATAAAGATGAGGTGGCATTTTTCTTTATGCTATTTACATACTTTTTTCTTTTTTCTCTTCAAACATATATAGAAAGTATATCATATATGGATCTCAGCTGAGCTTTTTGGGTAGCAACAATAGTCTAAAAAATATGATGCAATTCAAGGGAGATTCAAATATCCAACTAGCTAATTAATGTACTTTTATTTTTGGATCTATTGAAAAGGTAATAATATTTATAGTATGCACATAATTAGTAGCTTGGCACTATTTCTTTTTCCCTTGGATGAGTAGTAGCATTTAAGTACTTAACCAAATATTGATGCGCAACATATATGAAGATTATTTAGATTATATTTTCAACTATAATAATTATGTTAAAAGAATTAAATATATAACTTTATAAAATCAGCCTGTCAGTTCATCATTTATCAACATGCCATTATCATATAATAATTTGCGTGTGTCCCTAAAACTACAAATTAAATTAGAATTTTAAATATTAGAAAAAGAAAAAATAATAGATGAGAAACCATTATTTATGTGCAGGGGCAAGTTGATCATCCCCCTCCAACATTAGACAGCTGCGTTGACTTATCAAAGTTGACTTATCTTTACTTGTGTGTGTAGTTTGGGAATATTCCATCAACTTGGTTTCATATTACCTTCGCGCCTCGACTCATCATATATTTTTAATAAAATTTTATAATTATATTATAAAATATCATATTTTTTATACTATATTTTAGAGTACAATCCAATAATAGATACTTATGTATGGCTAAGTTGGCTTATCTACTTATAAATATATAAAATTTTATGTATTTATATTTTTTATACTATATTTTAGAGTACAATCCAATAATAGATACTTTAGTATATATAGTTTAGTAAGGTCCATCTACTTGGTTTCATATAAATATATAATCTGAGTCGATTTATCATATATTTCTTTTAATAAAATTTTATATTTATAATAAAAAATATTATATTTTGAATTATACTATTTTTTTAGAATACGACATTTCAATTCAAAAGCATCCACATTATTGAATATCATACATATTAACACACACTTCTACAGGTGTGTATTGATTAGACGGCCGTAATACACTACCTGCAGGCTACCATTTTTGGACAGGTCCAAAGTGGATAAATTACCATTATACCCTTCATAGTGGAGTAAATTACCATTATACCCTTGAAACATATATACAGTACTTGGTACTTACAGATCCAGACAGCCTAGGCCAGGGACCGTAGTCAAACGCTTGTCGAGCTGCTTTCACAGCTAAGTCAACGTCCTCATTGGACCCTTCCGACACCTTTGCAATCACTTCCTCGTTTCTTGGATCTATGGTCTCGAAAGTTTTTCCTGGTAAAAAATAAAATTAAAAAATGCTTATATATAAGTTTAAAATTAATTATGCCCATGAATTTCTGAAGAAAAAAGGCAAGATTTTGGATAGTTATTAGATTGAAGACATATTTCTTGTTGGGATATAAAAATTGAAAAGTGAAGAGTTAGATTGAGACAATTGATGGCCACATCTAGTAAAATTTTATAATTTTAAGGTGAAGATGGTACTTTTTTTTATTGGAAGATTATATATGTGGAAATAGCACAATTTGTAGAGTTATTAATTAAGTACGATTTTTGCTGTAGATACCAATGTTTGCCACGGGGAATTTATTCTTACACATGGTTAGTGTACATATGGTTTTTTTTTTTTTAATCAACAAAATGTATACAACTAAGAATGTTATTTGAGCTGAGTTGAGTAAAGCACTTCGTGTTTGAGCTGACACATATCGGTTCATTTAAGAATATCGAGAAAGTTCAGTTCGGCTAGTTTAATAAATAAACTTAATTGGTGTTTTGAGTTTCTCTCGTTAAAACACACGAACAAACCAAACTCGATCTTTAACAAGCCGAAACAAGTTACTTGCAAACAACTCGATTCAAATAACATCTCTTATTACATACCCAAAGTCATAATGTACCCACACGGATGCCTGAAATCACAAATCTTCCGGTTTGTGAAATCGATTTTGGAAGTATGAATTTTTCCCTTAAACTCGTTTAATCAACGCAAACTTAACAAATGAGTTGTTTGCAAACACGAGTTGATCCGAGCTCGATTAGCTCATGAAAAATATTGATACATATCTAAAAATAAAAATTACTACAAGGTAGGGAAAAAAAAGATAAATAGAAATAGAGGAAAGTGCAAAGTAGTAACCTGAGATAGAGTCCACAAAATCTCCATTAATGAAAAGCTTTGTGAACTTTACTTGAGGAATGTAATTGATTAAGGATTTCTCAACTTTTCCATTGGCCATTTTCTCTCTTTCAGATGGTACAACTCAACAAAGCAAATGACACACACATATATAATGGTCAAAGCTATACACTCTTGGTTTCTTATATTTTTTATTTAATTTGGATTTTTAAATTGATATATCCTATATGCATGAAATGTTGATAGGCATTTATTATATGACCCATTCAAGAATCCCGGTGCATGTGTTGGTAATACTTTATAAATAGGCATGTGACTTGCATTTTTTAATGATTAAAATCATTGTGTGTGTATATATAAAGTAATCTTTTTGGCAGATGATATTTTTGACATGTAAATTGCCAATATTTTCATACCTGGTTATTATTGATTTTATGTACTTAATTGTGAGTATTAAATTATCATTTTGCATATAATTTTTTATATAAAGCAAAAGGCCTGCAATTTCCGAGATTTTATAGAGAAAATAGAATTGAGAAAGTAGAAACAAAAAAGTTAAAAAGGTGTATCGAGAAGGCATGTCGATATCGAAGACTTTTGAATCTTTTATTTTCGATAGTAGGCTTAATTAAAGAAAAAATGTCATATATTTATTTTTTGCAACTTCGCTTTGAAAATGTAATGCATAAACTTGGGATATTTGTTAATCTATTGAGATTGCGATGAACTTGCGCAAATACCGTGCGATGTACGGGGTACATTGTTTTAAGGTTATATACCGAGTTTTATTATTGTACTCGTGAATAAAGATAATTAAATAAATAAAATAAAAAATATTATTATATATTATTAAAAACCTCATTGTAGACAATATTTTTTGTCTTGTATGCACACCATCTTCAGCGCAAACTAATATTTTCAAGCTCTTTCAATTAGTGCACTGGAAACAACTACATACAACTGATCATGATTGAACACCGACATTTTCAAGAACATACCAACATGTTATAAAGACTGACTCTGACTCTTGTTAATCATCATGGCATAAGAAACCATTAGGAGAAATTGCCTTCGTTTAAATTTTTTTAAAAAAAACTATAAAGTCGAAAGGTGTTAGTCATTCAACGATCTGTTTAGTATAAATTTGTGGGTATGTGGTAACCGAGTTACCCGACTGGGGTCGTTCTCTAAGGAAGGCTATTCGGAGCTTTGGTTACTATTCAATTGTCCAAAATCATAAAACGAGAAAAATAAATCCTAAACTTCCTATTCAATGATTGGAGATTGATTTTAAACTAGATTAACTAAGAAAACGAGCAACGAGCAATTATACTAGAAACCCTAACTTACTAAATCGGAGAACTAAAAATCAAGAAAAAAGAGCGAAAACAAGAGAAACGAGCTCCATCTACTACACTTAATAGCTAAAGTCAAAAATTCTATGACGAAATAACCGAGCTCAATAGCAAAGTCACGATGTTTCAAGTAGAAATTCACACTTCAACCAACTCAAGCACAATAGACAAGCTCAAAAACAACGAAAACACGGAGAATAACTAAACGAGCAAACATGATCCAATAAACAAGCAAGCTCTAATCACTTCTACTAGCTAGATAGCAAAATAGGTGCACAAATCGAAATTGTAAGCCTTAAAATTAAGTACTTACGTTCCTAACGCATGTTTGGTCGAGATCGGAGTAAAAAAATATAAACTTGCATAAAAACGAAAGTTGCCGGAAAAAGTTCGCCGGAAAATACTAAGCTAGAGAGAATCTAAAGAGAAATCTAAAAAAAAAAAGACATTACCAAAAAGAGTAAAGTTGCAAATGAAATCTAGTCAAAATACAAATTAAGGGCCAAAACGTATTTATAGTCTAGCTCAAAACACATAGCAGAAACACGCACATTAAATGAAACACACTCTCGAGCTCGTCGGGACTTCCGCAGGTCACGGGCACGAGAAGGCACGGGGTCGGTGCGAGGCAGAAAGGGACTCTCGAGCTCGCGGAGCTCTTCGCGGGTCGCAGACATGCTGAAGGACCATACTCTCGATGTCGCGGGGCTGTTGGCGCGCTCGGACGTGCGGGAGAGATGCTCTCGAGCTTGCGGATCATGGTGCGAGGTCGCGAGTGCGGGTGAAGGTGCGGACGAGGTCGCGGAACTAGGGGCGTGGTCGCGAGCGTGGCTTCTTTTGCGACTTTTGATCAACATGGCTCGAAATTCTCATAATGGAAATAGCTCAGTGGCTCGAAATTTCTCGAAAATGCTTCAGAATACTTGGGAAATCTCGTCTCTCGGGACTCGGTTCGACTCTTTTCATCATCCTCGGAAATAAACCTAAAAATACCAAGAAATACGGAAAAGTACGCCGAAAACATAAAATAAAAGAAAGACATAAAAACACACGAAATACGATAAAACGGACCGGTCAACACTAAAACTAGGGGCGTAGCCAGGATTCAAACTTTACCTAGGCTATAATTATTTTACTTAAATATGACAAAATCGCAAATAGACATGTTCAAGGTTTGTAAACGAGCAGCCAAAGAGGCAGTTCGAACAACCGATCAATGGTTCGGTTGACCATTGATTGTAGTTTCTATTCTAGCAGTCCGGTTATGGATTGCAAAATGTCAGAATCGCCTAAAGGTTTGGTTGTCAGATAGAAAAAAAAAAATGAAATTTTTGGGGAGGGACTAAAAAAAAATCAAAGGTTAATGATTTCCCAAAATTCAAGTAGAGAACTGTATTTTTTTGGAAAAGACACACTTTTTAAAAAAATCGATAGTTTTTAAAGAATTTTTCAATTTTAACATTAGAATAATAATTGAAACACAATGTTTCCAATCAAAAATCAGTAGTTCAAATCGGATCGTAACAGATACTTTTTAAAGCAACATGTCAGCTTAATATATAATAATAACCTAGATATATACTTTTTAAGAACATCTANAAAGAAAAGAAAATAGGCATTAAAATCGGGTATCCATGGACTGTTATTTTGGGCTTTTCATTTGAAAGCGTATGTTTACTAATTACTAGACTGATTAGAATTGTCTATGGTGGGATTTGGCCAGACTAATTTATAAATAAATGAGAATTCTATGTATAATGTGAGTGTTTGCTTGAAATTCAGCCTGGGCTACAGCCCAGGCAACACTCCAAGTGCCTCCGCCCCTGACTAAAACGATTCTAAAACCGACTCAACTATGCAAAAGAAACACATAAAAAGAAACACAAAAACACAATAAACAGTATCAACACCTTCTCTCTTGCATTAGATTCAATCAATACTTTACATTCAAGCACACGAGTGGAGAGCTTTTTGACAACCAATATCGTACCTTACATTCAAGCACATGAGTACTAAAGTTATTATAACAAACTTCGAATATTAATGTTAATATTTGTGTTAGTATTATTATCTATATAAGAACACAAATTGCAATTAAAATAAATGAAATTCAATTCGCCTCCTCGTCGTGAAATAAGATTTCCATGTAGTTTTTATATTCAATGCGAACAATTATTCGAATTACCTTCAACATCAAACATGGTTTATCGATTCTTGAAACTTGCTTTGGCAAATTGAATTTGCACTTCATGTTGAAAGTATTGTAGTTAACTGAAAGCAAAATTAAAAAAGAATATTGAGCATATGAGTTATTACATGACTTATCTAACAATTTATAGAGTTAAAAAAATGCTTAATTGAATTAAATTCCAAAAATATTTTGATTTGAAAATATTGTAAAAGAAGACAACTTATGGTCTAATATCAATTTAATTAATTTGATAATATTATTTATTTATGTTAAATTATAATGATTTGATATTTGATATTATAATTAATTTGAAAAAAATATTTTTATATGTTAGGTTCTTCGTGTACATTACTAACATGTTTTCTTGAGTAGATGTGAGAAAAANTAAAAAAAAAAAAAAAAAAAATCGATTTATTTAGAAATAGATTTTGTTTTGTATATTGCAAAGTAGTATCTCAACACACATATGTTATTTATAAATTGGTATCTATCACATATTTGGCAAAATAAATATTTATATACAACTTTGTTATTTTGAATATCTCGAGACACATATAAAATATAAATTTGAATACTATTGTGTTAAGTATCTGTATTAGTTAGGTATCTATATATAATAAATATCCATTTCAGTAGATAAAATTTTTATTTAAAGTTCATTTCCTTATTTTTCAGAACTTTCATACAAATTGTACGCATTTTTAAAGCAGAATATTTTTAGAATTGATTATATAGGTATAGATATCGAATACTGATATGATCACTTTACACGCAATTAAATAAATTTAATTTTTGTTGCTATGGATATTTATTAGTTACGTTCTTATATATGGTTAGTTGTATTTTTACTGTTAAAAAATTATACTAAATAAACAATTTAGAAAAAAATTACAAGATACATCATAATTATTATATATAAAAAATACACAATATAGAATATATAACTCGAATTGCATAATTTAAATAACTTAAAAGTTTAATTCTTTTTAGTTGTGGACATTTATTAGTTTTTTTTTAAATATATGATTACGCAAATCAAATGATACACTTTATTCCTAATGTTAGTGTTTTAAGGAATGTGTAATTAGTATTACCATAATAAATCAGTTAAAAATTACCTAAATTGTATCTTTAAAAACCTGCAGGAATCATGTGTAAGTAATAGATTTAAAAAATAAATTTTTTATGTGATTAATATTACCTTAATAAATCAGCCGAAATTACTTAATTTGTACCTTCATAACATACCATAAAATGTTTAAATAATTTTCAGATTTAGTACACAACAATTTTTTTTTTAAGAAAATAGTTACTATTTAAAAAATAATCAAACCTTTTTATATTATATATATATATATAAATAACTTCTTTTAAACATTGGAATGGATGTGACAGTCTAGCTTATTTTTTCCTACATATTTTAAGATATACATTAAATAATAGTTTATTAAATATTCAAGTCAACATTCAGAGGAGATTCCAAGCATATGAATTATTGATTGTACTAGTCATGATTTTCAAACTTGTCTCCTAAACTCGTGATAATCTCATATATATCATTTGATCATTTGGTAATACATCATGTCAAAGACGTTACAATAAAAGGATGAAAATATAATTTTTAATGAAACTTTATATAGATCTTAAGGTTGTGAATTTACAAAGATTTTTT